GGGGAGCAGCGGGCGGGTCAGGAGAGGTCTGCCACCCATGTGGTCACCTCCAGGGCAGGCGGGAATCGAACTCATGTGGAAGTAGCTTAAGCTTCTTAGTGCGGTGCTTTAACCCACTGTGCCACCAGGGAGGGCCCTGTAGTAAGAAATTTAATACCCCATTTATACATATTTTTTAATTTATTTATTAATGCATACAAGAACTGGGGTATAGGCCAGAGGTGCGGAAGGAGAGAGGTCTCACCAGAGACAGAGTGGGGAGCAGAACAGACTGACTGAAATGTAGGTGACTGAAATACACTGCATTTCAGTCAGTCTGGTGAGACAGCAGCGGGTGAGACAGGAGAGGTCTGCCTTGCTGTGTGGGTCACCTCCCTGGCCCGGGGATCGACCTCATGCTGCAGTGGCTACAGTAATGCTGTGCTTTAATCCCTTGTGCCACCAGGGAAGGAAGGCCCTGATATACTTCTTAAATCTTTTAACATGCAGCAGCCGCTTATTCTTCCTCACTCACTCCCTATCCCTACCTTTGTTTTTTCCTTTTTACAATAAACTTTTCTCATCCCAGTGATAATACTACTTTACTTTCTTGTCATTTTTGTGTTCACAGAAGTAACCCGTTTAAATTACTCCAAGAACTTTTCCTATGCAGTCACAGCTTGGCCAACTGACAAACAAAAGGTCTTGCTTTTGGCCTATCTCAGTTTTTGACGAGTATTTTTAGTAAGCAAACTCATTTCTAGGTGTTTTTTTTTTTTTTTATTTCAAGTGAGAAATGTGCAACTTTTCCTTTTCCTTGGTCACTTAGAGGTCATTGTTGTATTAATTGACCTAATTTCAACATTGTTGTATCTTAGGGGATAGGGAGATCCAAGGAGAGTTGCAGAAATGAATTAATAACTAGTCAGTGGAGTAGTTAAAACACTCCTAACATGAAGTTTGCCTTCCTCTGTAGATGTACTTCATGGGACTCAAAACAACTACAAACGTAACATCAAAGATCATGATCACAGATCACCATAATAGATGTTATAATTATAGTGAGAAATTTTGAAATGGTACAAGAATTATCACAATATGACACAGAAACATGAAATTGAGCCACATGATATTGAAAAATGGTGCTTGATAGATTTGCTCAATGCAGGGTTGACACAAACCTCAATTTGTAAAATACATCATATCTGAAGAGCTCAGTAAGGTGATATAACACAAGAAAATATATAGATGTAAAGTAAAACCTACTGTCTACAAATAGCATGGGAAAGGTTTTTGAAATGATAGAACTATCTTGTGTCCTGATCACATACAACATAATATTATAAGCAAGTAATATTACTGTGTTTTTTTTTTTTTATTTTTTAAAACTTCAACATTCTGAGGGCTTGGGCAGATTTCCTTTCTTTCTTTTTTTTTTAGAGATTTATTTATTTGTTCATACAGAACTGGGGTACAGGCCAGAGGCTCAGGGGCGGCGAGAGGCTTCACCAGAGACAGAGTGGGAGCAGAACAGGCAGATCTATGAAGTACACTGCTGAGGGGAGCAGTGGGCGGGTCAGGAGAGGTCTGCCTCGCCATGTGGTACCCCCGGGGCAGGTGGGAATCGAACTCATGCGGAAGTGGCTTTAGCTTCTCAGTGCTGTGCTTTAACCCGCTGCGCCACCAGGGTGGGCCCAGATTTTTTATTTGTTTATATAATGGAAATTTATTTTACAAATATTCCTTATTAATATGGATGTGATTTGAAACACTAGTAAACAAAATATGTATTTTTAAAATTATTTAACAAAAACTATTTAAAATATGGAGGATTAAATAGTTTTATTTTAAGGTTTATGCTGTATAGGTTTGAATTCTTTTTGCACCCCTTATCTTTCAAGCTTAATCTGACAGGAGAAAAAAAAGAATAAATCAAGCTTATGAACCTAACTATAATAATTAAAATTTTTCTCTTACGGTCAGCTGTAATTTAGAAAGCAAACTGAATTTATTTTGATTACCTTGTTGAAGAATACAGTAGTGTTTGAATTGTATATTCTTTTGGTTAATGGGACATTAAATAGAAAATTGATTGTTCAGATGTAAATTTTAAATCAGTACTCATGTGACCATGCTTTTAAGACTCAGTTGGACTTAATATTTGATCTAGAAGGAATGAGTTTTTTCCCCCAGAGTAATTTTTCTGACAACAGATCCACCATTCTTACTGAAACTGTTACAACAATCAGAGTATTATCTGTTGAAATTTAGAAGTCAAATGTTGCTCGCAAAGAAAGCACTTAGAACACTTTCCTGTAATTATATGTTTCTTGTTGGGTTCAAAAAGCTTGTTAATGCTTTCTGAGACAATTATTATAAGTCTTGTAATTTAGAGTGGTGTCCACTGGGTGGTGACAGAGACCTCAGAAAGATCCAGGATTGACAAGCATGAGGGCACTTGAGAAGAGCCTTTTACAGAATTGGCTTTTTTTTTTTCTTTTATTTAAGGAAAGCAAACATTTTTACCTTTATCCTGAAACCTATCAACTTATATTTCCATTTTTTGAGTATTCTAGTGCTAGCATAAAAATGCTCACCTGACATATTTTGAAATACTCTGAAAGGCATCATTAAAGTGGTATTTTCATAAAAAGATCCCTGTTGTACCTGATAGGAACTGTGATTCTTTCCTACTCTTTAAAGAATAAGGCAGTAATTCTTTGTTTATACTCCTGTGTTTTTAAGAAGAGGGAAGAATAAAATTTAGATATGGTGCTATATTGAGATGAACAAAAACAGTACTATGTCTATTGAAAAGAAGTCCCAAATGAAACTAGGCATAATAAATATTGAAACTGGGGTCATCCCTGGTGGTGCAGCGGGTTGAAGTGCAGCACTGCAAGCTGGCTGCAGCTACCCTGGTGTAGGTTCGATTCCTTGCCCTGGAGGTGACCCACATGGTATCTTGTCTTGCCCACTGCTCCCCTCAGCAGTGTACTTCATCAGTCTGCCTGTTCTACTCCCCACTCTGTC